GTTAATGCCGTTAAGAAATCATCTCAACATCATTGTTCAAATTGTAATAGAACTGGACATAATTCTCGCAAGTGTACCCGTAAGAAAAGGTCCAAGAGTAGATCCAAAAAGAGAGGCAGTGTTAATAAGGTTGCGGTAGATTCTGGTTCAGATACAAACACTTCCAATAATGATTCTTCAGATAATAACTCCGATTCTGAGGAAACCTCATCTGAATCTGAAGCTGATATCAATGTCAATATCATGCATTTAAAAAAAAAGTAAAGAATAGTTCAAAAAATAAGTCATCTTCCAATAAGAACAATTCAAATAAATCATCTTCTAAGAAGTCCAAATCACGCAAAACCAAAAAAGACGCATCTACTTCCAATAAATCGACTACTCTTGAGCAGAATATTCGTCAAATTTTATTGGATATGCTGGAAAAGGTTTTACTTCCACATCAGATAGAGAGACTCAAATTCGAAGATAAATACTTATCCATTCCGGATTTTACAAATCATCGAGAACCATCTCCACAAATTCCTGATTCGGATGGGGAAGAAGATATATTGGATGATCCTATGGAAATCGATTTTGTTCAAAGAAAGGATTCTGCTACAGATATTGCTACTGTGAAATGTAAAATTAACCGCCTAGTTATTCCTGCAGGCGGAATCGATTCACTTGCTAATTTCCCTATTATGACTGAAGATATTGCTAAGCGTGCAAAATTGAAAATAAATCCAGATGAAAAACATAAGCTTAGTGGAGTTGCCACTCATACCGAATCAATTGGAACTGTACATAATGTACCAGTAACCTTCGCTCCAGGTTGTGTTATACATTCTGACTTTGCAGTAGTTAGATATCGCAAACCAATGTTAATTTTACCTAACCCATTACTCGATAAATATAATTATGATTTACTCGCATCGAAACGGTTATTGAAACTTGTATGTAATGGTAAGGAACATTTTATTCCAATTAATATGCATGAGGTCAAGAATAAACTCGAAGTAAATTGCATTACCACATCTCAGAATAATAGGCCTTTGGTATCTGATCAAATTTCTCAAGAGACAGATAGTGATAAGGATGATAATATAACATTTGAGGAATGGCATGCTCCTGCGGGTTTTAACCTAGATTTTGATGATTCATCATTAAAAAAAACGCATGAGCTATGAGGAGCTGGAAAAATCACTATATGAGGTACTCGCATCCAAGGATAAATTAATGGAATTTAATAGAAAATTGCAACTTCATATAAATAAGTCCAAGGAGGTTGCCAATAGTGATATATCATATGGATTACAAAACACTCTAGAAAAAGCAAAGATAGATTAATTGGGATTTGCTGAAAGCAATCACTTTGTGGCTAAAATTCTTTTTGATTCACGTTCAACTACTTCTGATTCTTTACGATCACGTTCAATTAAAGTATATAGGTCATCTTTTTCTGCTTTTTTTGTTAGGGTATTGGGTATATCACTCTTATTGACAATATGTGCCTTGACACTAGCTCCGTTATTAGATGAATCAGAAATTTGTACAGATTTATTGCTTTGCAGACCCGTAGGGGCGTCTCTTTGAGACATGGGATAAGCTATGCCCCTAGATCTCAGTTTTCTATTTTTAACCCGCTTATCAGAAGTAACAATATAATCCAAATGCAAAGTATTTTCATCAATTTGATGTGTTAGAAGCGCCGAGCTCTGCTTATTGCTGGAAGCAACTTCAAAGGAGCTAGAATTTTTAGCTATGTTAACTTGATTAACATCTGGTAAGTGTGATTCGGGTATAGATAAATCCTGACTTATAGATACCATTGAATTTGATATAGGTTGATGCCATTCTACCATACTATCTTCCTGTCCTCTCCAAATTTTATAAAATCGGTTATTTGTCATAGGATATCTTTCTCTTAACTTCTTTAAAACGTCAGATTTAGGTTTTGCATCTCGATATTGCATAATAAACTTATAATCTTCTGAAGATAATCGAACTGCATCGGATCGCATACGTTTAGCCATGTTATTTTTATATGTAATATGTGTAATATGCGTAATATGTGTAATACCTGTAATATCTGTAATATTAGTAATATTAATAATATTTTTTAAAAATAATTAGTACGTATAATATGTGTAATATGTATAGTATTTATAATATGGATAACCGGTACACATAATATACATAATATGGATAACTAGTACACGTAGTATGCATAGTACATATAGTACACATAATATACATTGTATACATAGCACATATCCTGCCTTTTCGTATATATATGCTCGAAGCCAGAGAAAAAGTTAACAATTACATAGCCTTCATCTAGTACAATATATTGTCGTCTATTTATCTGTATTTTTTATTATCTATTATTTGATATGACCCATGAAAAAGATCTCGAGAAAGAAATACATCAAATTCTCAAACGTTCTTCTGAAGTGCGTAATTATAATACTAAATTGCAGGATAAGTATGAAAAGCAAGAAAAAGATTTTAACCGGGAGAGGGATAAGTGGGATCGGGTTAGAAAGAAGTGGAGTGAAAAACTAGGAGAGGTTGTTACCGAGAATCAAAACTTGCAGTTTGAAAATGCTAGCAAAGCTATTTCTCTCACTAATTCTAAATCTGAGATTGATATAAAATCCAAAGAAATTACAACACTTCGGTCTATGAAAAAAATATTAGAAGGTAGATTAACATCGGCTCAGAATGACGCAGTTTCGACCCAGGAAGAGATATTAAAAAAAGAATCCGAGATCACGTCTCTCAAGTCTGAATTGGTAAATTTAAAGGATGAACTGGCCTTGAAAATTAGTGAACTTGGGTGTATGAAATCGGAGGACGTATCTCGTTCTGTGATTGGGGGGGTCGATGAAAAAAATATAACCAAGTCTGATGATATATCTGCAGTTAGTGAACCTAATAAAAATCTCAGTAAATATTTTATACGCGGAAAAAATATGGATGAGACCAAAAAAATCAATAATAATATCCCGGCATATACCAATAATGAGATTACCAAACTACCAAAAGATGATACCGAGATTCTTTCCAAGGTAAGTGATGAAACTAATATTAGTGAAACTAGTAAAGATATTATGCTAGATACATCGATAAAACCAGATATATCACCAATTATATCTGAGAATATGACCCCATACCTTGCACAATGGGAAAATTATACCTCCTCTCCAATTAAATCACATCCTCAGATTTCGGTGGGAGGAATAGAAGCGATTCCTATTGTAGCAAGCACTTTAATGTCACCACTATCCGCATATATATTTCTTACCTTGTTAATTATTGCAGTTATGTGGTTCGTTATATTGAGACGTACATGGGGATTGGAGAGGAAAAGTGATCAATTGCGGAATATGTGGATCGGGTAACCGAGACTGTCTATTTGAACTTCATCACTCGATTCTGGATATTTTATATAAAATAACTATTAGTTTTTTTCGAACTTGAGAGAAAAAAGAAAAAAGAGCGCGAAACTATGAATGAGACTGACTTCTTGGAACACAAGCGAAACTTTGAAGCTAAATTAGGTATTC